CTGTTTCAGTTTCTCTGGAACGCCAGTTGGACCTGTGGACCACTGATTCAACAAAAATCACAACATTTAACACTTTTCCTGACGACCCTTCTGCGCGCAGGTTGCTCGAAATGATGCATTTTGACTTTGAAACCCAATATACCCTAAAAATCCCAAAACCCCAAGACCTCGTGAAATTCAATATATATTATATTATATTATATTATATTATATTATATTATATTATATATATATTATATGTTATATATATATTATATATTATATATATTATATATATTATATATATATATTATATATATTATATATATTATATATATATTATATATATTATATATATTATATATATTATATATATTATATATATTATATATATTATATATATCATATATATTATATATATTATATATATTGTATATATTATATATATTATATATATTATATATATTATATATATTATATATATTATATATATATATTATATATTATATATATATTATATATATTATATATATTATATATATTATATATATTATATATGCTCGTCCGGTGGGAGGGGGGCCTGTGCGGGGACTTCTGTACCTCCGCTGCCCCTTCGGTTCTTTGTCCTGCGGCGGAGCGTTTTGGCAGGGCGACAAGGTCACTCAGTTTATTGATTGGAAATTTCCATCGGCCGGTATCATTAGAAGATGTTAATCCGCTCTCCCTCTCTCTCTCTATATCTTCATCATCTCTAGATCCGTGCATTTTATATTATGAACTGGTCTTGCCAAGTATGAATTTGGAATGCGCAGTCTTGAAGTTGCACACCATTGCTTATAATTAAGTATAATGGTTTGAAATGTCGTTAGATGGAAGATGGAAAGTTGCCTTTAGCGAATAGTTATTTTCCTATGCTGGCTGGTGGTCATCCCGGGCCCCAGCTGCACTCCCCGGCCTAGGCTTCTTCTTCGTTCTCTCTCAGAGGGAAGAGGCGGTTGCGGAGTTCGGCAACCAGCCGTGCCATCCTCCGTGGAAACGCCCTTGGGTGGTTGTGCCGGCGGACGTTCAGCCGGCACCGGCGTGCGGCTTTGCGGAGAGTCTGCTTCAGCTGCCACACCCTGAGGAGCTCGCGGGCAGTGCCACCCGCAATCTCCTTCGATGTGAATCAGATCAGGGCGGGTCCAATTTAAGGGGCCTAGAATTGTACAGATAGATAGGCATAGCTAGATCGTAGAGGCATACACACACATAAAAATATATAAATAAATATATATTTATCTATATATGTGTGTGTGTGTTGATATTTACATAAACAGTATATCTAATTACTGTAGGTGCGTAACCTTTTTCTTTATTCTTCCGATGTTTTCTGTTCTATTGCATCCATTGATCTTTCTGAACTAAGCGATGTCTCAATCCTGAGTGGCCGATCGTTATCATGTCTATTTATGAATATTGGATGTTGTTATTTTCAGACCTGATAAATTCTGTTCTCAAGTCGTTGTTCGAGGAAATGTATCGGGTCATCGGTGATCAACCTACCTGCTCAAGCAATCTATGATAGAATCAGGATATATATATATATAGTTGATGGTGCATCATTCGTGCTATTTAAATATTTCTTTCGAGGCAGACAGATTGCTTTTTTTTTTGGGTCCTGGGCCGTCTGCCGCGCGCGCTGAGCTGCGCTGCGTGGCGGGTTTTGGCTGCACTCGCTCAGCAACTGCGCAATTCGCGCAGGGCTGAAACCTTTCTGGCGGAGTGCTTGGCGGACTTCAGCCACCGTACCACAGACCACCTTCAAGCGCAGGCACTCCATCTGGGATGGGCCCGGCATTGTTCAGGCAGAGAGAGAGCGGTTTTGGCGGCTGGCCTTGTATATATATTATATATATTATATATATTATATTATATATTGTATATATTATATATATTATATATATTATATATATTATATATATTATATATATTATATATATTATATATATTATATATATTATATATTATATATATATTATATATTATATATATTATATATTATATATATTATATATATTATATATATATTATATATTATAATATATATATATATTATATATATTATATAATATATATATATGCTCTCTCCATCGAAATGCAACCTGGGATGTCTAGAACTTCAAGGTTTAACTTTAAATGGCAGCCACATGTAGGCAAGAGCAGAAGCGAGATGTTATCTTCGCAAGTGCAATGCCCAAACATATCTCATCTGGGGAATCAAATGTCAATTCTCGGCGTTCAGATTTCGAACTCCTTCAATCCAGGTTGCGATGTATTGGAGTCGAACAAGGCGAGAGCCATCCTATTCAAAGTGCACAGTCACTTCAATCCCAACAATTCAGCAATATCAAGCAACCCTATAAATTGCGCAAGAAGAGTGGTGAAGGCGCATGCACAAATGAATGACACATGTCTTGTACAAAGCCGGGGAAAAGCAACAGCAAACAAACTCAAAGCTGGTGCCTGAAGCTTGTCCACCTGAGGCTGCGACTCCCATTGCGAAGCGCGCGAACAGGAGCTGATGAGAGCACAAACTGTCACATCGTTGGGCCTCAGCTGCTCAGAATGAACCCGTTGCTCGAAAAATATGCAAAGCAATGGCACAGAAACTTCACAACAATAGTTGTGTACAGTAATCAGACCAAACAACGACCATTGCATTTTGACTATTGGATTAGCAATCACAATGAGTTGGACAAAGCTTCGAGCTCCATTTCTTTCTTCATCTCAGAGGCAAGTGCCAAGGCAAACTTCCAAATGTTGCCTCAAACCAAAATCTTTGAGAAAAGACTTGCACCCGCAAGAAAGAAGGAACATGGGGACCTGTTGAGAACCAAGACCTGACCTCGATCAAGTGCGCTGATGGCAGCACTGTAAGTGTATTGATCTGGCCTCAGGCTCCAAGATGCTCAAGTTTGGGTTCCCTCATCCAAAACGACTCAGTCGCAAAAGTGCAAGGAGCCACATGTCTTTTGCCATGCAATATATATATATATCTATTGATTTATTTATTCATTCTTATTTATGTATGTAATATATATATATATGTGTGTGTGTACATATGTATATATATATACATACATATATACATACATACATGTGTATATATATATATGTATATATATATATACACGTACATATAATATAATATATATAATATTATATATATATAATATATATAATATATAGTATGTACATATAGCGGAGAAGAAGGATGAAGAGTGAACAGCATGCACTCTGGAAGTACCAAGTGTATGTCGGAAATTTCCATTAAGAAATACTGCCTGCTCAGGCTGCCGAGCCACGTACATACATCGCTTGACCCGCATGTCTTCTACCAGCTGCAAGATCTGGGCCTTAAGAATCTTTTTAGCATTCCTTGCTCATGCATGATTGAAACTCAAGCAGCGGCAAGTTGTAGTTCCCATGCTACAAAGATGTACCTGTGTGCAATACCCTCAAGAAATCTGAAATGCGGCCTGTCAAAGCAAAGCTGCTGACCCATTGCTTGTTCTTCTTCAGGGCCTTGGAAAGATTGCAGCCTGAACATGGCTCAATTCTTCTTGCTTTGTCAACTTCCTCGACAGTCAAGCAACTATGGAAAGTGCCAAATCCATCATTCATAGCCAGGAGAAATCGACCTCTCACACACAAGAAAACGAGCTTAATTAGTGCCCAGCTGAAATTGAGGCATTGTAGCTGCTGATGTTCTGCAAGTTAATCTCCTAGCAGCCATTCTTCCGGTAATGAAACAAGCACTGAGGGCAGTGAAAGCATAGAGACATAGAGGCTTTGTTTCCAGAGGTCGGATCAAGCAAGGAATTCTCCAGATCATGGACGAACTATTAGGGAGATCTTGTGCATGTTGAATTTTACAAGGGTGCCTGCAAGAATTTCCTTCTAAGATCTTCCAAGGACAATGGCAGGAGCAAAGGACATGTTCTGTTCAATGAATAAAGAGTTCCGAGAAGGAAAATTTGGTTCCTTCTAGAGGTGCACCCTTTGGACCCCGAACATTCTCTTGAGTTTCATGAAGCACAATCCTTGAGCTCCGGCCTGTGGCCCAACTCGAAGCCCTGAAGCTTCCCGAACAGAAACCTGACCCAACCATGGCAACCAAGAGTGTCTTAACACATCTTAAAACTGGAGAGCAAGGGTGATCGAAAGGCAGTGCAGGATGCAGAGGTTGAGGGGATGTGGTGTGAGGAAGCAAGAGGAGTGTTGTATCAAAGCAAAAAATAGATTGTTTCTTCAGCGCAGTCTGGGCTGGTTCGGCTTGTGCGTTTTTGCGAAAAAGCGGGACGTGCTCCAAGAATGCAAATGCTAGAGCCAATCAGTGCATCTATCTTTGCCTGTAAAGCACATCCTTGCACAAAAGACAGGCAGACGCGTTTCAAGGATGCATAATTAATTGTACAAATGTGCTTTAACCGTTACAGCAGTGCTTTGCAAACTCGACACCAGTGCAGCTGAAAACCTGGAACAACTCAAGGAAACCAAAAACTCTGAGAGGCTGTCGCCTGGGACCCCCCGTCTTTTTTGTTTTCTCAGGTCTTTCTGATTATTTGTTTCCACCCGACATTGTCCCAAAAATAAAAGATCAAGTCCAGATCTGCTACGACTACGCTGATATGGATAATTAGTTGTAGATATAGATGCACATGTAGATACACTATTACTATACTATACATATAGACATGCATATACATGGTGCCCTCACAAGAACAATACTCTGGATAGCCCAAATCTCCCGGACCAGGGGGGAATCGAAAGGGTGGGGCCTAAGACTAAAATGAAGACTAAGCGAGGAAAAGCAGGGATTGGAGGCAGACCCAGCCACAAGTACTAAAGTATATTGAACTCAGGTAGCCTAGGCTACCTTTCGTGATATCGTACCATCGGAAGCACTAAATCCACTGGTTTATCATCGTGTTCAGCGGTATACCCCGATTTCAGACACCCATTCTTTGGCGACACTCTGCTTTTCCAAGTGGCATCGCCTCAGCTCTGTACGAAGTTTGCTAAGAGTTTGCTAAGCAACTTGCTATTTGACTCGCCACTTCCACCCGCCACCTGAAACGTTCTCACTGTACAACACCCACGGGTCTCATTGCTTTCAAAAAGCCTTGGACATCCTTTTCCATCTCCTCTATGCTTCCACGGCTCTCACTATCAGAAAAGCTTGTGATGGACTCTGAAGTGTGCTTTTTGGTTTCCTCAGAAGTTCGAACCTTCCTGCAAAGCTCGTCCATACTTCCCAAGCCATCCTTGAAACCTTGAGCTTGCCGTGCCAGCTTCTCCAGTCCGGCAGTCATCTCAAACATGGTGACCAGTGGCTCCAGACGTTTGAAGTTGTCCGTCTGCAGGCAGAAGATCGTTGATGCAATGAAGATGCATGTGCAAAGAACACCAACGGTTCTCTGAATCAACATTAGACCGCAGGGAAGAGGGGAACCTGCTTCACATCCATCCAAGACCCCCACGACCACGTTGCCCAAATTGAAGAGGCAGAAGATTGAGGCAAATCCAAGGGTAGTCAGCAATTGTTCCTGCAGCTGAGATACCAAATCAATTGAGCAACACACCAAAGAGCACCTGCGGTTCTCGTAGTCGGGACTGATGTCCAGCAGGGGCAATTGATCGTTCCTGTGGTAGGCACATCTCAGAGAATCCCAGCATCGGAGGAAGCAATAGCAAATGCTTGGACAGCAGCACCGGGGAAACTCAAAGGTACACTGTGGCAAGGGTGAGAAGTTCACATCGACTGATGCCCGGTTGGAGAGGAGGGCATAAAATGATAGGGCAGGCATGTCCCTTCCATGATCGGCTGGTCCTAAGTCTTTGGAATGCTCTGCCCACTTGCTGGCGAGAAATTCCTGCAATTCCGGTAGATGGTCTCTGTAGTACTCAGCATCCAAAACAATTTCATCCAGTGGTGCGTTTGCTTTCTGGACATAGAGCCGCATGCTCTTCATCTCCTGGGTGTTTCCCAATGTCTTTGCGTCCTCCAGACTGGATGCGATTTCGATCCACAGCCAGCTTCCCCTCTGGCAGTCATTGAAAGAGTCGCTTTTGGATTTATGATAGTTCTTCCAGCTTTCAATGATATTCTCCGAGATGGGCTTGGCAACATTTTCATCATTCAATTTCTCCAACATATTTCGAAGCCATTTTTTGACGTCTTCACTTGCGGCTGGCAGTACGGGATAGAAGCTAGAAAGATACTGCACAATTGCTTCCCTCGGAAGCTCAATGTTCCTTTTCATACATTGGCGTAGCATGTTCACAGCCAGTTGAACCTGAGCTGGCTTTGCATTGTTTTGAACAAGCTGCATTGTATCCTGTAGCAAATCGATAGAATTTTTTGCACTCTTCAATGTATCCAGCAGGCCAACAACAGACTTGGAGAAGGACGCTTTGAGTTGCCTGTATCTCTGTCCATTCACATCGTCGTAGTACCAAATAAGCTTCCTTACTGACAGAATCATTCCCAATGAAAAAACAGACCCTTTTTCAAGGCATTTCCCAAAAAGTTCCCAAAAAAGCAAGCGAACAGATTCTGAGTTATGGATTGAAAGTTGAAAGGCAAAACTTTCTCAAGAGGTGGTGTTCCAAGTTTCACTGACAGACATGTCATCCACACATAGACCAGGAAGCCCACCACTTCGAAAGTGCAGTTTGCAGTGGAACCTCCAAAAATGCGATACTTGCCACATTGCGCCTGAGCGAACCTCGAAAACCAAAGGAAGGAGTAGGAGAGGGACACCCCAAAGCAAATGTAGATCGCACAGTGCAAGAGATTCACTGGCCAGTACAAATCCAGAAAGGCTTCACCGAAAACATCTCCAGCCATTTGCTTCATGAAGGTTTTGCAACGAGTTTCGCGAGAACCACTGACCTGATTGACCGGGTTGACCGGGTTGACCGGAACGTCCTCCATGGCTCTCGGACAGCTCACAGCAAATGGCCCAGCAGCCCAGCATGAATCACTGACAGTCAAAGAGTTGTTTGACCCTCCTACGAACTTGCCACACGATTCGTCGGTGAATTCTTGCACATTCTGCATCATTCTGCCTTGTCTTCCATGTTTACATGATTTTACATGGGGTGCACAAAGAACTAGCAGCACAAAGTGGTTGCTGCAGAATGAAACACCAGCGTGAACTGCACTTTTGAATTGCGTCTTCAAATCTACACCATCCAAATCGGTCCAAATCTTACAATTCCTTTCCTAGTCTCTGAAACTTGACTGGAACATGTTCGGTTGCTGCCTACATGGACCGAACATGTTCCCTGCATCTCCCTGCGCTGAAAGGTGTGCCTCACCGGCCAAAGAGCGACGGTCTATCCATCTGCGCCTGGCGAAGTTTGTAAGACGTCCGTGACATTCGCCAAGGTATTGGTGAAAGTAATTGACAGGTTGGCTTCGAAATCCTCGACATGAAAATTGTGAAAGCTCTCGAAATCTTGCAGGCTTTAAGATCTTTAAGATCTACAGAATGGTATTCGGCCTGAGGCGGAGCATGTCGCCTCACCTGATCATGCTCATGGAGAGTGTGAAGGGATCTCATCACATGATACTTCACAAGAGACAAGTGCTATATAGATCATTATAGATCTATAAGATGTATACGAGAAAATATTTATCTATATTATATAGTTTATAATGTTTTATATGCGTTGTGCCACAGAGTCTCTGATAGCGGATGTGACAGTGAGCAGTTCTCCTGATGAAATGCTGCTGGCTGATTGCTGAAGCGAAATCTAGAGGATTCAGGTCGAGGTCAGCACCTACTGCACCACTCATGGCCATGGTCGCAATCTTGGACTCCTCATATCTCAGATATTTCAGATTCAACTGGACTAAATACCAAGTCTTGCAAGCTTCAGAGTTCAACATGATTTGAATGGATCCAACATGATCCAACTATAGTCATTTAAAAGTGTCAAGCTAAGCTTTTTTTGGTCGCGACGCGCGCAGCCTTCAAAAAAGGCCCCAGGCTCTTGGAATCTCGGAACAAAGACTCGGCAACAGACTCCGCTCAACTCACTTTCCGTTCTGCTTCTGGATGTAGCATGCGATGTGCATGAAGAAGGAAATTGGCAGCAGCAGGGACTCCACAATGTAGGAAACGTTGAAGTATCCACCAGCATCAACCTTAGCCCACTGGGTGTCGTAGTAGTTGAACCTTGGACCGGCGCACAATATTGCAGAAGACAACGGCACATGAATCAACTCAAACCTGAGTCAGTCAATCGATCCAGTCAATCAGACGCTGCATAGCATTCGATGTCACTTCAATGTCATTGACAGCACACAAGTTGGTCTAGGCACTGAAGGTTGCCATACAGACCAACACCGAAGAAGAGCATGGACAGGAACGCAAGCTCGTTGGAGCTGAAGGCCTGCGAAGTATGCGGTAGAAGGCTTTTGAAACTAGATGTGTGATTGTGTGATGCCTGGGGACTCCTGATGAACACCACTGAAACTTTGCAAGTTCTGCGCCAAAACATTGCAAGAGTCAATCTATCGCATCTGCTTTTGAAATAAACCACCAGCCTTCAGGTTTCCGATCACGTTGCTAGTGTACTTGCCGTTCTTCACAATGGGACGTCCAGGATAGTCTGGTGCGAATCCCTGCCTCAAACAATCACAAGCTGAGTGAAAGTTGCAGTCTGAGTTCAGGTAATGACCAGCTTTTCAGTAGCCGCTCGGTAGCCGCTCCGTAGCCACAACCGCTCTGTGCGCACAAAATCTGCAGCTAGGCCACATCTTGTCGGGACGCCAGTACATTGGGCCCTTCATGTACTCGGAGGTGTATTGCAAGTACACCTGCAGCAGTATAGAAAGAAAGAAGAGAAAAATGTAACAACTATGGCAGAAATTGCACACACAAATGGAAACACATTGGTCATTTGAAAGCCTTCAACAGAGATCTTCGTCGGTCTTATCTATTCACAAGAATCATAAATGGCACACACTGCAGTTCTCCACAAGACACGCACCTGCTCAAAGAGGCGCTCATCCGCTGGCGTCTCCTTGTAGGCCTTGCCCTGGGGTCACCGGTTCAGCTGAGTTCAGTTCAAAAAAGGATGCCAAGGGTTCAGCTAAGCTGTCAATGTGCGAACTTCCAAGGTCAGGACTCCACCCTCTGCTCGTGTGGCAGTAGCCCTAACACGCCAAGCCGCGGCAAGGCCAACATGCGCACCCAGCGCGAGGCCTGCAGAAAAATGACGAATTCACCAAGAAATGTTGTGCTCTGGCGGTACACAGTGGTACACTCCATCACTTAGGCCTTTAATATTCTTCAATTCTCTGTTGCCTGCAGCAGCCAAGCCCCAGCCGGCAGATTGTGTCGTGGATCCACTAACTCCAGACGCAAGAGGCCTCATCGCTTCTGCGTCTAGATTCTAGATAATCTGCAAAGGCCCCCCGCGGCTTCCCAGCAAAACATTTATACACAGAGTTATGATCCTCTTTAGTCTAAATGGGGAAAAAACTTAGGAATCTGTGAAGGCTCTGTTTTCTTTTGTTCGTCTTTCCAAAAATCCTGCCCCCGGTCTTCCCCGGTCTTCTCGCATGACTCGTCTACAGCTGCAAGGCTCAGGCCCCGTCACGGTGGGCGCTGAAGGAGGTCGGGTTGGTGCCACAACAAAGGCTGCCCCGGCTGCAAAAGCAGCCACTGTGGCCACACCCACTGCGACGGTGAAGCGAGTCATGTTGTTTCCCTAACAAAGAGCCAAAGAAGCTGCAGGACATTCTCTCACTTGTACCAAGATGTTGTCTTGGAAGAAGAGCGATTCACCACAGAGACATCGCTGTTTGAAAGTAAGAAAGGCTCGGCTTTCATTCACTGCCAAATCTCGACACTGCTCTGAAGAGGCAAACTGAGATGCAAACACGCCGCAGTCGTCACATCGCTCATGATTGCCCAGAATACGCTTTCTACAAACTCGAAAGGATAGGAGTGTTGATTAGCAGTGGACTTCAACTTAAATAACAAGACTCACAAGTCCGGTGGCTCTCTGAAGAGACTTTCCCTGCACTACCAGTCACTACCAGGGTCAGCCATGTTTCATATTTTAAGCTCAACTGAAACCTGAAGCTTTTGGCTGCAAAACTAATGTAAAGAATGTTCAAAAGGAACATCAGAACCGCTTCAGAGATGAACACAAGTGGATGTGGGACCTTACAATAACTTGCAGAATCATTGAAAAGAAATCATGAAGCAGTGCTCCAGGCATGTTCCTGCAGCATTTTTTGGCTCAAGAGCTGGACTTGCTAGGTGCCTTCCAGAGGCTGTGCCCATCCAAATTGGGCTACAATCTGGTGCAAACGGTACGGTAGTCTCAGGGCCAGATCACCCAACAGGCACTCGAAAGCAAAGGCATAACTGTCACCTTGTTCTCGAGCACCCTGCATGGCAAAATGGCAAATTGGGACACCACAATGCGCCATGGCTTACAGTCTGCAAACAAACAAGCTGGACGACTGCACTAGGTCACTAGGCGGTTCCACAAGATGTTCGGTGATCAGTATAGCGAATCGCATTGATTTGCTACGTTTACATATGTTTGCTGTATTACTCTCATTTCAACAAAGGATGATCAACGAGACCTTATGTGAACTTTGACAGGTGACTGATCCGGAGGCAGACCCTTTCAGGCCTGCATGAGACTGGCTTCTTCGGCCGTGGCATTATCCAACAAAAAGGCGACCTGGGCGGCCCTCTGCCCTCTCTTCAGTGCATGATATCATTCCTCCCTGGTCAGGTTGGCTCCATTGCTGAACTCAAAATTAGACAAGGAAGCAACTTCCCTGTGATCCTCACTGCCGCTGTGTCCAACTCCTCTTGCCGGAGCCTCGGCTGTCGGCGGATGAGATGATGTGACGATGTTGATTTTGCCATCAGGTTCTGTTGAGTGCATGTGATGTATGTTTGCATCCAAAAACTCATGGAATTCGTTGAACCTAGGAGCTGTCTATACTGTCTATACTCTATACCTGAGATGATCACGCCAGCTTCACCCGGTAGATAAACTCGCTTGCCTGCAGTGGCCTCCCATTCGCATTGTGGATTCCTCGCATTCCTTCAGGAAATTCCAATATTTCATAATATTTCCATGTTCATGTTTGATTCATACATTCATCATCATTCATCTATTTTCATCTACAGTAGTTTTTTCTATGTTCAACTTGCGTCGGTAGAAGACTCAGGTCTTTGGCCACCAAATCTTGGCCACCAACCCCCAACAACCCCGCCTCTCACATAGATAGCGACTGACATAAAGACGCAAAGCAGCATGGCCCAAAGGAGCCAAAGCCTTGTGTCATGCTCGTGGCATCTGCACTAGCCCGAGCTTCCTGTAATAATCATGTCTGTTTACATGGGAAAAAACCGTGAAAAGCATTCCGTATAGTCTCAACATGCTATGGCAATGTCGATGACTTGCAGGTGGTCTTCAAACCGATGATCTTCAAACCACTTGGATCACATGTCAAGAGTTTTCAATGTCCACCAAGGCCCAGGCCAGAAAGTAGTTGCCAGGTGGTCTCAGGGTGGGATCAAATATACCTGAAATAAGTCGTTCCGAACTGCTGCACTCGTTCCACGTTCCACTGAATGAGCCAATCAGTGCCTCCAGTGATCTCTGCAAGCATCTTGTCTTCTTGTCCAGGAGGAGACACGACGCCGATCTGCCACATTTAAGTCGAGACTATACACTCCAATACAAACTACAAACCTCTGACCTCCTGTCTTTCCGTATCTTTCCGTCACTGTCTAAGCTCAAGTCTGTGCCAAGGTATGTTCTGATACAACTGGCCTCTCTGACGGTTTGACCAGCCTGTTTGACGATTCGCATCAAGTCCTCATCCGACGAAGCTGCATCCATGTAGGCGTAGCCCAGCAAGGTTCGAAGGCCCAAGGCATTCGAGTACCTCTGAAAAAATCCCCAAGATCGCCATCGAAGCGGGAAAACAGGGAAGGAATTGGAATCTGCAGGATCTGCAGGATCAGGGCACATGTTGACACCGACTTGCTTGATGCCATCGAAGTTCATTCTCACCTACCGACTGGAATCTGGTAACCGGGACAAGCATGAGATGCACGAAAATTGGGTTGAATTCGGCAAATAAAAAAGTAAACCCACCAATTTCCTCCCCTCTTGTGGAAATCATTTACCCGTACCAGTTCCGATAGAATTCCTTCAAACTGTTGCGCCTTTTTCACCCAGGTTTTCTGCGCCCCTTCCAGCATCACATCACGCTCTCTCTCGGTCAGAGTCCTGAGCTGTGCTTGTGCCAAGCTTGACATCAACACAGCGAAGCTCATGGGTGAAACTGGGCACCCGTGCTCTCCCTTGTAGAGCATCACAGCCGCTTTGCCCTGTCTGAGTGTTCTGACCTGACCCGAATGATGCTACCTTTGAAAAACTCTTTTGAGCATTAAAAAAAAACTCCTCTGCCCAAAACTTGGAACGATCTCCTCAAACCAGAGCGCTGAATCCACCTTCAGTTAGCATCACCCTGGCCTCCTGACTCTCGGTGAAGGGGCTGCGAACCACCTCCGCAAGTGGCACTTCAGGTGGCAACTATGGAGAATCATGAGTCATTGTATGTCATTGTAGATGACATAGCAATAGTCCACTTGCCACAGGACTGGTCTGCTCACGGGCCTGCTGGTACTGGTGCCGCAGAACCAGATATTCCCAGACAGTATCGCCGATGTAGGCTGCACAGCGTTCAACAAGCACGCAAGCTCTCGTACGGGCGCTAGCACTGCTGAGATTCCCACCAAGGATGTCCTTCTCCAACATGCCCCGGGTAAGTCTGATCCGTCTTCGAATATCATCAGGTGGAACAATGCCCTGCGAGTGCGGCAACTGAAACAAATGTGTGGTCAAAACTTGACCCTGCACATATACGTACATGTGCATACATGTGTATATATAGTAGTACATTATTACATAAGACATATTCTATTTATGTGTGTATTTGCGATATATGCGTGTTCGCATTACTGTATAATTGAATTTCAACAGAACTACAAAGTTTATTTTAAAATATTGAAGAATCTTGATATATACACAATGGCGGCTTCAAGCCTTTCGTGCAAAACATCCGTTGACATGATCACGTATTCGGTATATGTCCAGCTTTTCAAAACTGACACAATGTGCTAGGCAAACTAGCAAGTTCAACTACTCTCCTGTGCTGTCACTCTGTTTTTCAACCAAGTCCATGTCTGACGAAAAATGTGTAGTTTCTGCTTTCAAAGCTTTGGACATGCGCTGCTACACCTTGGAGAAGCTGAGAATTCGACCATCTTTGAGGACCAATCAGCAGGAGTTGCTGGCTCCAAGTCCTGCACATCGGTCATTGCTGAATGATAGTTGCAGTCAAAGCAGCGATAGACACCAAGTTTAGGGAAGCGTTTGGTAAGTGACATTCAAAAGGACACTCAAACGGCAGGCGTTCCTCATGCATTCTAGGATGCTGGAAACTGCACAAGCGAGAACGCTAAGGTTGGCACAAACAAACCATCGTCAGTGTGTTGGACCACTACCTCCCAACAAGGATGTGCTGGAAATGTGCTTTAAAAGAGGAGCTGAGGTCGGTCACATGAGTTCCATGCAACTGAAACTGCTGGACTTCAATATGGAATTAGAATGAATTAGATGCTTTCAACCTATGGAAATAGACCGAAGAACGTCGAAAAGCAAATCTCCTTGACTTGCCTCGGATGCGTTCAACCTCACCAGCGCACCTGTGGTCACTGCTTCAAGCGCGAGACTCTGGTATTAGCTCTTCACATTTTTTTTTGCAGCTCACCACATTCATCACTCGGCATCCAACGGCTCTGATGCTTCTTTTGACGGCGACTTCTGGCCTGAAACAGCTTGAAAAGTAAACCCTGGCTTGCTTAAAATGTGAAATGGAACTTGAATCTCGGACTTTACTCCTTCAGAAAGTTGGCAGTGAATTGCAAGGGTCTGTACATCATGGTCAACTTCCACTTCCCGTTTCCAAGATTACCCTCTGCCCCCTTGAGATCTCGACAGCGGTCAAAGCCAAGAGAGCCACTGGTATTGAGGAGCTTGACAGCTGCCTGCTATTTATTGTCAAATCTCAGTAGCAGCCCTTTAAGATTAATTACGATGAAACAAGATGAATTAAGACTCATTTCATATTTATTTATTCACCAGACTCAATGATGGTCACATGAAAATCATCCAAGCCCCATTGGCCCATGGTCAGAACCGCAACATCCGCCCATCATCCAACCTCACATCTTCCAACCCCATTTGAGTCGGCGGGTTTCTGGGTGGCTTCATCGCCTCCAAGGGCGGCTGTGTCCTGAAGCAACGGAAGCCAAGAGATAAGGATCTCACAAACTGCAAAGATCTGCAAAGTAAATCAAACACAAAGAATCTGGAAGGAGTAAGTGCAATGGCACTGCAAACACTATCAGAAAAGTCAAAAACATCAAAAACGGCAAGTTGGGTGTGTCTGAAACAGGGTACATAGATGTATATGATACAAAACTTGATGGTTCATCATCATGTAATCATACTATCCATAGTTGTTCCGTTAAAAAGAAAAGGAAAAAAACTTTTTGGGGGTCTCCCCCAGTCTTGGACAAACCCACTTCTGACAGCAACATTACCATGTTAGAGGTCCTGGTGGACACAAAAGCAGCGGGAGAAGCCATGGCCTTCCCAGGGCAGCTAATCAACTCATTCAACTTGTAACAAGCTTCATGTGGAATGCAAATGATCTGAAATATTCTTCCCGACGTGCTCATTCTTGGGTGCTGCAGGATGATATAAAAAGGCTAAATAATATTTATTGCCACGCAAAGTTGCTGAACAATGAATGCAGTCTCAACATTCCCATGATCTTTTTGGACCGTGCGGCCGTCCCTGATGTTCGAGAGCTTCGTTTGAAGCCTTCAAAAACGGATCGGCATTTCACTTCCTCACTTTCCGTTCTGCTTCTGGATGTAGCATGCGATGTGCATGAAGAAGGAAATTGGCAGCAGCAGGGACTCCACAATGTAGGAAACGTTGAAGTATCCACCAGCATCAACCTTGGCCCACTGTGTGTCATAGTAGTTGAACCTTGGACTGGCGCACAATATTGCAGAAGACAACGGCACATGAATCAACTCAAACCTGAGTCAGTCAATCGATCCAGTCAATCAGACATTGCATAGCATTCGATGTCACTTCAATGTCATTGACAGCACACAAGTTGGTCTAGGCACTGAAGGTTGCCATACAGACCAACACCGAAGAAGAGCATGGACAGGAACGCAAGCTCGTTGGAGCTGAAGGCCTGCGAAGTATGCGGTAGAAGGCTTTTGAAACTAGATGTGTGATTGTGTGATGCCTGGGGACTCCTGATGAACACCACTGAAACTTTGCAAGTTCTGCGCCAAAACATTGCAAGAGTCAATCTATCGCATCTGCTTTTGAAATAAACCACCAGCCTTCAGGTTTCCGATCACGTTGCTAGTGTACTTGCCGTTCTTCACAATGGGACGTCCAGGATAGTCTGGTGCGAATCCCTGCCTCAAACAAGCACAAGCTAGGTGATAGTCCTTTTGAGCAAAGTAGTTTCGTTTTTTCAGGTTTTGCAGCAACCGTGATTGCGCTTTGCAGGCCACAAAATCTGCAGCTAGGCCACATCTTGTCGGGATGCCAGTACATTGGGCCCTTCATGTACTCGGAGGTGTATTGCAAGTACACCTGCAGCAGTATAGAAAGAAAGAAGTAAGAGAAAAATGTAACAACTATGGCAAAAATTGCACACACAAATGGAAACACATTGGTCATTTGAAAGCCTTCAACAGAGATCTTCGTCGGTCTTATCTATTCACAAATCATAAATGGCACACACTGCAGTTCTCCACAAGACACGCACCTGCTCAAAGAGGCGCTCATCCGCTGGCGTCTCCTTGTAGGCCTTGCCCTGGGGTCAAAAAGGTCAAAAAGGTCAAAAAGGTCAAAAAGGTCAAAAAGGTCAAAAAGGTCAAAGAGGTCAAAGAGGTCAAAGAGGTCAAAGAGGTCAAAGAGGTCAAAGAGGTCAAAGAGGTCAAAGAGGTCAAAGAGGTCAAAAAGCTGCAGCGGCTTCAGCTTTTTGTCCTTTGGCTGTGACATGCTGTGACCTTTCTATATCGTTCTATCCTTTTGTTCCACTCGCAGCTCAGCAACTAAGATGCTAAGGACGCTGCTCCTCCCTCCGCTCGGGCAGCAGTTGCCCTGAAACGCCAAGCTGCGGCAAGGCCCACATGCGCACCCAGCGCAAGGCCTGCGCTACTGAGTTTTCTTGCAAAGGAATGTGCTCATGGCCCTCATGGCTCGCATCAAGACTGCCTGCAGTAGCCAAGCCCCAGCCAGCAGACGTAGCAGTGGATCCACTTGCTCCAGATGCAAGTGGCCTTGTGATCGAGCCATTTCAATTCTTAAACACATTTCAACGTGCATTCTGTCTCACTCGAGTTTACGCAGTGTTACTGAATGCATTTCAGACATTTGCCAAAGTCTAAGACCCCTGCGGAAGGGGCGCAGTAGGAGCTCGGGTTGGTGCCACAACAAAGGCCGCTCCAGCTGCGAAAGCAGCCAGAGCAACGCCAGCGACCACTGCGGAGCGAGGCATCTTGTCACACGGCTTGATAAAAATGCTAAAAAGTGCTGCGGTACGAATCTTGATGCTTGACCGCCTCAAAAAGCCCTCAATTCCCCAAAACTGTACATGAAATGAACGAACCCTCCAAAATTCCCATCAGCCATGCAGCACGCAGTTTTTGGAACACTACTGCTGTTCCAATGTACAATCCTCGGCTTCAAAAAAGGCTCTACTCTGGAAACCAGAATTGACAGCCTTGGGTGACTCTACTTCCTCTCTACTATCCCGCTCAACTCACTTTCCGTTCTGCTTCTGGATGTAGCATGCGATGTGCATGAAGAAGGAAATTGGCAGCAGCAGGGACTCCACAATGTAGGAAACGTTGAAGTATCCACCAGCATCAACCTTAGCCCACTGGGTGTCGTAGTAGTTGAACCTTGGACCGGCGCACAATATTGCAGAAGACAACGGCACATGAATCAACTCAAACCTGAGTCAGTCAATCGATCCAGTCAATCAGACGCTGCATAGCATTCGATGTCACTTCAATGTCATTGACAGCACACAAGTTGGTCTAGGCACTGAAGGTTGCCATACAGACCAACACCGAAGAAGAGCATGGACAGGAACGCAAGCTCGTTGGAGCTGAAGGCCTGCGAAGTATGCGGTAGAAGGCTTTTGAAACTAGATGTGTGATTGTGTGATGCCTGGGGACTCCTGATGAACACCACTGAAACTTTGCAAGTTCTGCGCCAAAACATTGCAAGAGTCAATCTATCGCATCTGCTTTTGAAATAAACCACCAGCCTTCAGGTTTCCGATCACGTTGCTAGTGTACTTGCCGTTCTTCACAATGGGACGTCCAGGATAGTCTGGTGCGAATCCCTGCCTCAAACAATCACAAGCTGAGTGAAAGTTGCAGTCTGAGTTCAGGCAATGACCAGCTTTTTCCAGTAGCCGCTCGGTAGCCGCTCCGTAGCCACAATCGCTCTGTGCGCACAAAATCTGCAGCTAGGCCACATCTTGTCGGGATGCCAGTACATTGGGCCCTTCATGTACTCGGAGGTGTATTGCAAGTACACCTGCAGCAGTATAGAAAGAAAGAAGAGAAAAATGTAACAACTATGGCAAAAATTGCACACACAAATGGAAACACATTGGTCATTTGAAAGCCTTCAACAGAGATCTTCGTCGGTCTTATCTATTCACAAATCATAAATGGCACACACTGCAGTTCTCCACAAGACACGCACCTGCTCAAAGAGGCGCTCATCCGCTGGCGTCTCCTTGTAGGCCTTGCCCTGCGGTCAAAAAGGTCAAAAAGGTCAAAAAGGTCAAAAAGGTCAAACAGGTCAAACAGGTCAAAGAGGTCAAAGAGGTCAAAGAGGTCAAAGAGGTCAAAAAGCTGAAGCGGCTTCAGCTTTTTGTCCTTTGGCTGTGACATGCTGTGACCTTTCTATATCGTTCTATCCTTTTGTTCCACTCGCAGCTCAGCAACTAAGATGCTAAGGACGCTGCTCCTCCCTCCGCTCGGGCAGCAGTTGCCCTGAAACGCCAAGCTGCGGCAAGGCCCACATGCGCACCCAGCGCAAGGCCTGCGCTACTGAGTTTTCTTGCAAAGGAATGTGCTCATGGCCCTCATGGCTCGCATCAAGACTGCCTGCAGTAGCCAAGCCCCAGCCAGCAGACGTAGCAGTGGATCCACTTGCTCCAGATGCAAGTGGCCTTGTGATCGAGCCATTTCAATTCTTAAACACATTTCAACGTGCATTCTGTCTCACTCGAGTTTACGCAGTGTTACTGAATGCATTTCAGACATTTGCCAAAGTCTAAGACCCCTGCGGAAGGGGCGCAGTAGGAGCTCGGGTTGGTGCCACAACAAAGGCCGCTCCAGCTGCGAAAGCAGCCAGAGCAACGCCAGCGACCACTGCGGAGCGAGGCATGGTTTCCAGATTTCGAACTGAGCCAGAGGAAGCTGCGGTCAAATGGGCGCTCGAGAAAAAAAAAAACAAGATGCTTTGCATGTCTGCAAACAAAAACAAACCTCACCATGGCTCATGTTGGGGAACAAGGAACGCCTGTGAGAAAAGTGTGCAGGCCATGGCACACAATGTAAACTCTGCAAATATATACAAATGTGCTCTTATTAATGGTGTTTGCATAGAGGCACGGTATGACATGTCCAATTGAGAACCAGGACCATGTATATAGCTTGAAGGAATGCCACAATGAAGAAATCGCCCATCTAAACCTGACTTACGTCTGTTTCTTTTCTTCCTGGTGCAATCAACATTTAGCAAGACCAGCAAGCCTGCGGTTTTGCTGAAGCTTGAGCCATATCAGTCAGAACATTCAGTTATGAGGCTGTGAAACTGACAGAATCTGCAGGTAGCACCCTAACGTTTGCGTCGAATTTGATGATCTCCATTCTCCAGAACAAAGAGACCTCCTTTTGCACTCAACGGAACCCAAGATCGATTGCGGCCTGAGGCCATCTTCATAAATGCTGCACCGCCCTCAGAAGTCCAACATGGATGAGCCGAGATCGTAGACAAGCACCATAGCCACCTGCATCACAGAAGCTTCTGCTCCTCCAAAGCTGATCATTCGTAAAGTATCATAAAGTATCATGTTTTTGCAATTATCAAAAATGCAGAGGTTATTCACCCTCGATTTGCAGAACCTCGGGTACAAAACTCAACCTTCATTCTGAACTGAAAAATATGGCAGCTAAGAAAAGTGCCGGGTTGGATTCTGTGTGGTTCCCTGTGATCTTTATTCCACTTAAAGTCTGAAAAGTTCTACAAGTTGGTATTCGCGGGGCATCTTCAAAACACGACAGCAAGTCGCTCACAAAGGCATGTAGCTCTGGCTTGGTGTTTGTTCCGGCAAAGAAAGTGCATCAACATAATATATTCCAGCACTTCCGAAGCACTGTCTTCAACAGACATGATGTGTTGCAGATTCTTGCGATACCCAACGTTGAAATGTCTGCTTCCTTTCTCGTTCATGAACTGAAAACAATAGACATACTAAGGAGTGGACCACATTGACATAGAAGATTCTGTGGTTGATAGAACTTGTCGCCTGGCTTCATGGGCAGAATCATCTTGGCAATTCTCAGGCCTGCCGATGGAAGGAGACTTGAAGCGACTTGAGGCTGGCCTGCTGAGTTGCAGTGTAGTGCATCAAGGGCGTCTCTGGCGATGCAGCCTTCCTTGACCAATTTCTCCACATGCAACCAATCAAACAAGATAAGACAAGTAGAATCAAGTAGACTCAAGTAGAATCAAGTAAGTAAGATCAATGAAAACGTGTGAAATCAGTATAAGCTCGCTGCGTTGTCCCAAAGGTTCGCGCAACCAACTGGCTTGGGGCAGCAGGCTTTGCCGCCTGCAGCAGCAAATGCATCGTTTCTGCTACAACTAGTGACCTCATCTCATGCATTGCACCACAGCGTCTAACAATTCTAATACGCGCACAAATCAAAGACAAAATTAGAGACAAACGGACGACAGTGACTACAGCGCGGCAGTCAAGAAATGCCTCAGCAAGAGGCAGCGCAGTGCGCATCAACACACGTCGAAGCGCAGCCATGACAACAAGCCAACAGCTCGACCTCAAGTAGCATTATGCAAAACTCATTCTATGTTCTGCGTCATGTGTCCAGCACGGCTCATTATTTTCAAACCCTGGCGCTCCAAAGCCGTATCCAATTCTGCATCTTGGTGAAACAAGCGAGAAACTGAGGGTCAAGCAACACTTCTCTTCACAAATCTATTAGCAAAGAATTGAGCCAAAGTATGGATGCGAAACATCTTCAGGAAATTCTAATTAGTAAGTGGCCAGCCAAAAAGAATGTTAGCAGATCTTTTCAAGGAAAGGATAATCCAATCACAAAGTCCTCCGCATTGCCCGCAGCGTTTCTTTTTCCCAATACACCAGCGACACCAGCTTCAGCACCATCAAGGAAGAGCAGTTTTTGCAATGATCCTTCCACTACTGCTGGGCGGGTTCTGTTGGCTCAAGCTTCATAAAAATCAAAATCTATTGAGTTTTGAGCATTCTTGTTTGTTGAATCGCCTTCACCTAAATGTGCTAAAGGCAGATCTGTTGTATCACAGCATCACCACAACTACTCGACAAGAGTTGATATTCCGAGTTCAAAATGTTTGCCCCACTGAGCTCAGAAGTCCAGCATCGATGAACCGAGGTCATAAACCAGAACCATTGCAACCTCGGCGCCATTTCCGAACCCGAGCAACGACCATCGCACTGATGCGTATTCAGGCCATATTAGCATCTGCACAAACTAAAGAGTGGACCACATTGACATAGAAGATTCTGTGGTTGATAGAACTTGTCGCCTGGCTTCATGGGCAGAATCATCTTGGCAATTCTCAGGCCTGCCGATGTAAGGAGACTTGAAGCGACTTGAGGCTGGCCTGCTGAGTTGCAGTGTAGTGCATCAAGGGCGTCTCTGGCGATGCAGCCTTCCTTGACCAGATTCTCCACATGCAACCAATCAAACAAGATAAGACAAGTAGAATCAAGTAGAATCAAGTAGACTCAAGTAGAATCAAGTAAGTAAGATCAATGAAAACGTGTGAAATCAGTATAAGCTCGCTGCGTTGTCCCAAAGGTTCGCGCAACCAACTGGCTTGGGGCAGCAGGCTTTGCCGCCTGCAGCAGCAAATGCATCGTTTCTGCTACAACTAGTGACCTCATCTCATGCATTGCACCACAGCGTCTAACAATTCTAATACACGCACAAATCAAAGACAAAATTAGAGACAAACGGACGACAGTGACTACAGCGCGGCAGTCAAGAAATGCCTCAGCAAGAGGCAGCGCAGTGCGCATCAACACACGTCGAAGCGCAGCCATGACAACAAGCCCACAGCTCTACCTCAGACGCAAGACTTTATCAACTCATGTTTGCATCTGTGTGTTTGTTTCGTTTCATGTCTATATATACCTTTTTTTCATACATACAGTACGAAGTGCAATGGGCACGCTTCTGCTGTTCCTGCAATTCAGCATCTTGGCCAATCAAGTATCAAACTGAGGTCAAAACAACACTGTCCACTCTACTTTGATCCCAACTGTAAACCAGAAAGTCAAAAGGCGTTGTGTTCACTTGACAACGCCCACGTCTCGAAAGCAACAAAATGACAATATCATGGTGAGTTGATTCCGCCATTGCTGCATATTCCATTTTTTTTTCGAATGGATTTCCATTGTGCCATGAGCAAACTTGATTTACGTAATGCTGGTGTGGTTCATGTCAGCAACAATATGAGAACACGTGAAATACTCCATTTTTCGCAACATTCTGATATCTGAGTTCTGCAAACATTGGCCCTTTTTCCACAGCTCATCGATGCTTTGGTGGGATGACGGCAATGCTGTGCTCGATACTGCAATGGTAGGTGACCAGCAGGATTGTTCCTCCTCCACCACATGCTTGGGGCCAGATTGATACACCAGCACCATGAATCCCTCCAGCACTCATGGCTGCACTCATAGGCGCAACATGACCTGAGAAATACTTGGCTTTGCCTCCGCATGGAAAACCTCCATGCTGCCAGCCACCTTCATGGCACACTTTGTGCTCCATTTTTGACTTCAATGATTTGCCATAACCACTCTGGTGTCGGTAGTGAATGTGGAAGCGGCTCTGGGTGCGGAAGCCTTTGGGGTTGGTGATGATGACACAGCTGGAGCTGCCGCAATGCGACCAAGCAGCATTCATGAGATTGTCATAATAACCCACATTTCCACCATTGATGCTTTCCATGCCAACTGCATCACCATGTCCAGAAACAACCATGTACGGGCTTGGGCGACCCATGATGCAGTAGGACCGATGGGAGCAACGAGCAGCGAGGTAGCCATCAGGAACCGACGGATGATAACTCGAACCCAAGGTGTCGTCCTCTGGGCCAAGACCGATTGTTCCATCATCGTCAGGGTCCTCTAACTCGATTTGACGAAGTTGCAATGCATTGAGAGCGCATTGTTCCTCACCCTCAAAGCACTCATCATCACTGGTAAGGCCTTGCTTCGCGCTCTCCAAATTGACATTTTCGGCCAGAGCAAAAGGAACGCCAAACACAAGAAGTGTTTGGAGAAACATGTTTTTGAATGTGGAAAGCGCAGTGAACAGGTCAGAAAGTTTGAACCAAACTCATATCCATTGAAAATTCATCGTGTTCTTACTTGTGTGTGTGTGCGTGTTTGGCAACGGTGGGTCACCGTTTCTGAATGTTTTAATCGATTGCACAAGACATTTCAGGAATCGGAAGTCACATTTTTGAAACCCAAACAGTTCAATTTGTAGCTACGAAGATCAAAAGCATCTCCACAAACAAACCAACAAACCAACAAACAAACCAACAAACAAACCAACAAACCAACAAACAAACAAACAAACAAACAAACCAACAAGCAAGCAAGAAAGCAAGCAAACAAACAAACAAACAAACAAACAAACATTGTTTGAATCCCAATTGTGTGTGTGGGGGGTGTTAAAAACATTTATGGGCGATGGATTTCAGCGACATTGATGTACACATCACGGTGTTTGCCTCGGACCTGGCATGGAAAGGCCGCTGACCCTCAAACAAAACACGCCTGCTAATTATGCGAATCAATTTGATTGACAGGTTTGGTTTGCAAACTAGTCATAGTTTACCAAACCCTCTTTAAACCCTGTGACAATTCAAATCCAAATTAACCCAGCATACAACCCCAACAGCAAAGTTGTTCGTTTCTTGTGATGCCTGTTTGGTACTGATCCTCCAATCACCACCTGGTAACCAGCAACACGACCCCAAGACACCATTGAAACATCACCAATACAGCAAGCGACACATCACCAACACCCCTCTGAGACACCACCGAGGCGACGCATCGCCACCAAGTGATATATTGTTTGAAA